AAAAGTGTACACACCGGAGGTACCGAAATGAGCCCTAGTTTGTTCTCAGAATCGTATGGGAGAATGTTATTCTCTTTTCTATAATAGCAGTCGTTATTTCAGCTGTTTTTCTGTGCGGTCATGTCATGTTTGTGTTGGATCAGCTGTTTTTGAATCACACTTTGAGCAAAACTTTTGTAAACTCCCTACACTAAAAATGTGGGACACTGTGCATGTGGGAATTGCGGGATGGGATGAAAATAGTGCGATGCATGGTCACAAACCTTCACACCAGACCTCAGCCCCATCCACAGAGACGCCAACTACCACTCCCGGAGCACCGACCTCATCCTGCCAACACACAAACACACCGAGTTGCTACAGGTGGGCTTCGGGTTAATAAGACAGCGCAAAAGGACACTAGTCAATCAATTACAAAGCAAGTTATAAGCCTACCTCTGTGCCTACCTTTATCCGCTCCACAAGGTCTCTGCTAACTTTTATAGCATCTTTGTATCGATCCGTCTTCTCTGCTCTCGTAACTTTAACATCGCAGAAACTGCTGGCACCGTCGCTGCTGTATTTCAGCCCGACAGCTAAAGCGATCCCCACTCCAACCCCATACATCCAAATCGTGGACTTTAACCGGTATTTACGAAAGGCTGGTCCTCCCACATATCGCCTTTGTTGCTGAATAAAAATACTATCTGACTTCTGCTGCTGCCTGGCTCGCGCTCCTGCACGCGGGGTCGTCACAGGCGACTCGCGCGCTGCTAACATGCTGCATTTGGTACAAAAAGTACTTTGCCTGGACAAAAACAAACGCAACATCGTGAGAAAGCACTCCTTCTTTGTCGGCGACAAGTGGCTCCAGTCAATGATCTGCTCACCGTTACCAACAGCTTGTTTACTTCCTGTACGCGTCCTCGTTCGGAACGCCTCGAACAAGACCAAATAAATCAAATCATGATTCAAAGAACGTTGATCGAGGGGAATAGGGCAGGGTTTGTAGCTAGAGGTGAGACCAATGACTTTTATACAGTCATTGGGTGAGACCAGGGAACATAAAACCTTGTCCTTGAACAATATCAGCATTTATTGACGTGTGTACTGTGTATGTTGGCCTACTCAGTGCTAACAATACTACAACAAATCACACAAAGACAAGCACACAGCAGCAGGGATATTCATTTAGAGAAATAAATGCTAAAAACACAGTTTATTCTGTAGATTAACTTTACTAATAATGACACAAACAATCAAATAAATAAGTAAAAGTAAAAAACCTGGCTTTCAGACGAGAAAGTGCTGTACATAGGTTGTTGTAACTCTGTGCAGCAACTTGCTGGCAGCTGGACACCATTAATTTACTGGAAACAACTGTTTATAGTAACTTCAAATCAAATCAAATCAAAATGTATTTATATAGCACATTTTTAAGACCGAAGTACACCAAAGTGCTTTCCAGTAAAATCACAATACAGATAAAATCACAGTAAAATATAAAGTTACTTAAAGTTAAAGTTACTTTAAGTTACAGTAAAGTTGCTAACTTTACTGTAAACACTTTTTACATCATGCTACAACTGCATTTACAGTAAAGTCGCTGGTAGTAATTTGCTGTATTATCTACAGCAAATATGCTGTAAATTAAATGTATGATAGCTTTCAGTTATTTAATTTATAGTAATTGAATTATGGGATCTCATGTGAATTAAATTTACAGTAACAGACTTGTAGCTGGATGTCAGTAAGTTAACATAGAATTTACAGCAACTTGTTTACACAACTTTTTACAAGGTGTGTTATTATCATGGGTAAATCCTGATCTCCCAGCAGTTAACGTGGGATTGTAGGGTATTCAGTACCCCGTTTTGATTTTGGGGATTGGGCTAACCAGCTAATATTGGTTTGGCAGTTTTGAAAAGCTGATGCTGAACAGTGCTTTCTAAACATAATTTGTTTAACATAATTTGATATTTAGATGAAGTGAAGTCATCGTTCTTAATATGCATTTCATTAATATACAAATGCATTTGCTTAAAAAAACACAGACACACATGAACAGACAGTGGGGAGCATTCCATCTGCAGTGTCTAAGAATGCCAACCCATATAACCACAATAGGCCTACATACACAAGCTAGAGACCAAACTTCAGGTTTGTGCAACCGCATTGAGAATAAACTCTGGCTCTCTTTCTCTCTCACCCACACACAGACCCTTATCTTTCCACTGCTGTAGCAGCAAAGGAATGTCAGTGGGCTTGCCAGTTATTTAACTGCTGCAAGCACAGTGTTCTGTGCCAACATAAACTAGTGACTAATATATTAATCGTACTGTATGTGCATATAGTACGTGAAAGTTAATTTTATTTTTCAACTTTAACTTCACTGATATCTATCAAGTAAAGTGAAGTACTTCGCATACTATATAGTACACTCACCAGCCACTTTGTTAGGTACTTATGTTCAACTGCTTAACACCAAAAGTTAAGTCACATAGCAGCAATTTACTGCATTTAGACATACAGATAGGATGACAAGGCTACCTGCTTAAGTTAATATCAAACATCAGAATGGGTTTCACAGTGATTTAAGTGACTTTGAACGTGGCATGGTTGTTGGTGCCAGATGTGCTAGTCTGAATATTTCCAAAACTACCAAACTACTGAGGTTTTCCCACACAACTATCTCTAGGGCTTTCCGAAAATGGGCCAAAAATGAGAAAAGATCCAGTAAGCTGCAGTTCTCTGAGTGAAAATGCCTTTGTTTATGTCAGAGGTCAGAGGCCAATGGCCTGACTACTTTGAGCTGATAGGAAGCCAACAGTAATTCAAATAACTAATTGTTACAGCCAAGGTTGTTAGGATGCCTGGGTCGTCGACCCAGGGCTTTTGAGTTTATATTATTTATACTGTCTAGTTTTTGGTTTCTTTGAGTTCTATCTAATGGCTTATGTCTCTGTCTTCTTTAGTTGCTCTGTCTCCCCTATCACCTGCATCCCCTTGTCTAGTTCGTGTCTATGTGTATCTTAAGTTCCTATATCCCCGTGTTCAGTCAGTGTTTGTGTCTGCCCTGTTCCCACGTCTCTGTTCCCTTTTGTTATAGTGCCTGCCCGTGAGTCTGTGTTATGTTTCCTGTTTTACTTTGAAAGTCCATGTCTGATGTTAATGTGTCTGGTTTTGCTTCCCCCTTGTCTCGTTAGGCCTGATTTGCCCCAGCTGTGTTTCCCTCCTGTTACCCATTCCCTGATTGCTCCCTCTGTGTATTTAAGCCCTGTGTTTCTTGGTGTCTGTGTTGCGATCTACCGTTTACTTTGCTGTGTGTTCTGTCATTGCTCTGGTTTAAGGTTGTTTTGAGCCTTTTTCAGTTATGTTATATTTTGAGTACTTAATTAAAGCCTTTTTGAGTTCACGTCTGTCTCCGGAGTCTGCACCTTGGGTCCTATTCCTGCCTGCACACAGCCGCACCTAACAAAGGTATGCAGACGAGTATCTCTGAATATACATCACGCTGAATCTCGAAGCAGATGGGCTACAGCAGCAATAGAAGATTGGAAAAATATTACCTGGTCTTGATTTCTGCTGTAATAGAACAATAACATGAAAGCATGATTCTATCCTTCCTTGTATCAGCAGTTCAGTCTTGGGTTGTTGGTGTAATGGTGTGGGGAATATTTTCTTGGTACACTATCGGCTCCTTAATATCAACTGAGCATCATTTAAATGCCGCAATATTGTTGCCGACCATGTCCCTCCATTTATGACCACAGTGTACTCATCTTCTGATGACTGGTTCCAGGAGGACAAAGCTCCATGTCACAATATTCAAATCCTCTCAAACTGGTTTCTTGAACATGATAATGTACTCAAATGGCATTCACAGTCACCAGATCTCAGTCCAATAGAGCACCCTTGGGATGGCAGATTCTCATAATGGATGTGCAGCCAATAAATCTGCAACAATTGTGTGATGCTATCATGGGATCATGGACCAAAATCTCTTAACCGACAACAAATGCTGTTTCCAGCATCTTGTTGAGTCTATGCCACGAAGAATTAAGGCAAAATACTATCCAACCCAGTACTAGCACAGTGTACCTATAAAGTGTCCAGTGAGTGTATATCTGATGTTTTATTGTAAAATTATTATAGTTTGTTGGATCAATTATTTAGAAGATTTCAGAGGGTAAATGACTGAACTGAACAAATATAGTAGCTGTTTTGGGTGAGCTGGAGTGAACCAAAGAAACACATTACAATGCTTTTGAACAGATGGCAGTCAAACTGAGGCCCAAGGAAAAGAAACAAGAGAGAGAAGTTTTGAAAATGCTGCAAAATTAATAGATTTATTTAATTTTTAGCTATTTGAAAAATGTAATACATTTTACATATGGAAAGATAAAATAAAATCTATTAAATAAGCTTTCTCTTTTCTTTTGCACTGCAATCAAGCTTCATTCAACTACAGGTCACCTCTGACGAACAAAACAAAGTCTACGTATGTACCACAAACAAAGTTACAAAACTTTCAAAACATGCTTTTATTTATATTTATATTTTTTACATTTTAGATATGATGACACTTGAGACGTCTACATTAAAACAATGCTAGAACAAAGCACTACCGGTACACCAAAAATCATACTATACAGACAAAATGAAACAATTTTGAACCTTGGTTTTAAACAACAACAACAAAAAGGGCTGAAGTCTTGTGCCATTTCTTTAACATTACAGTAGCACCAGTATACATACTGACAGTGACTGTCAGGGTATACATACACTTGTGATGACTTTCATGTGTATATTCACTGGGGTGTAATGACGCTTCTTTAACATAGTTTGTTGTATGCGTAATGCTGAGGTTTTACTAAGTGCAAAATTTCTCCACTTTGTCCTTTGGTATGTGCATGATCAAGGCAGAATGCTACGTACCAGATCAGCTTAAATGCAGTTGTAGAAAACGATCTTGTAACCAATGGTACTTGGTCAATGGTCATTTCACCAGATGACTTGTCAAAAAAAAAAAAATCAAGGATTGCAAAAGGCAAAGATAAAAACTGGCTTGCGAAAACAACCGTGTTTCTCAGTTTAGGCTTCATGAGAGGGAATGGTTAAGCGTTACTTCCCCTTTGAGTTCTGCTGAAGGCAGGACGATGCAATAAGAATAGCATCTGGCTGTTTGTTCTCCACCATTGGCAAGGTACGAGAAGAAGGGGTTTACGGTAAGCAAGGTGCAAATACATAAAGCCAAAACCACAGTGTATGTGTGTGTGAGGGGCAAGGGGAGGGGTCAGACCGTGCTTTCACAAATTATTCAGTTCCATTAGAGTCTGGTCCAGCATCTGGTGCATTTCGAGGTTCTCTTCTTTAGCTTGTGATACTTTCTCTGTTAGAACAATCAAAATGAAAACATTTTAATGTCACACAAGCACACACAAGTGAGTCAGCTGGTTAGCTTGTATTAATAATCAAGCTGGCTACATTATTCAGGTCAGTTGGTAAATCTGAGTGCTTTTTAACCCGACCTGCACAGCACTGACAGCAAACAGAAACACACAGAATAGCAAGCAGTCATGCAGATTACAAATACACTGCAACTGACACAGAACACACAGCAACAGTATACAGGTAGATTATTATAGTGTTGGTTATAACAGTTTATTAATGCCAAACTAAAGGTTAGAAAATTATATGTAATTAAAGATAATCCCTGATTTTTACGGTTTCAAATACACTTCCACCAGCAGCGACACAGACACATCGAGCAGCACAGGCATCGTACTCGGGCAATGCAAACGGAAGAGCTCTGGAGCTTACGCTGGATCCGATTGTCATACGCACACCGAAAGCAAAACCGCAGTGAACGGAACAAACGCATGAACAAGTTAGTCCTCATTCAAGGCCACGCGAAGTTCATTAGAGAGAAGGCGGTTTTTCTCAAGTTGATGGTAGAGGCGATCTTTGCAGTCAGAAAGCAAGTTGAAAAAACAGAGAGAATAGGAAATCAGAGGAAAACAGGAAAAGAGAAAGTGGAATACCCTTTGACATCTACCTTCTCTAGAAAGGAGCACCGAGAGATTGGTTTAATCTTTCTAAAAGGTCTAAATAGCCATAATAATAGATGATATTACAAAATAAAGTATTTTGATGGTTCCTGCTTTTGCTTTTTGTCTGCAAGAGGCGAGCCAGGGCTGTGCATAGAATAAGAAACAGAAGATAGAGCATTGTGACAAAAAAAGAACCAAAGATCTAAATCCTAAAATGGACCCATTTAAGTTGAAAAATGAAGAAACAGAAAAATAAATCATGAATTCAATCACTACTCTGTCTTGATTATTCACTCAGTTTCCTGTAAGTATCTTTAATGTGGCTGCTAAACCTCAGCCAGTCTTTAGGCCAAATTTGGTTTCATGCTCACTCCTGCTAATCTTGATCTCTCACAATTTATGGCAATGACTTTAATACAAAGAGTCTGAATGTGTCATGGTGTATTTATTTAAATATATGACAAGATACCATATATCATACAAAGCCTGTTTGTCATAATCACTGATGTCAGTCAGTTTCATCCAATATTTCATCGTCAGATGAGGTTCCACAACTCTTACATACTGTTCTGCACGCCAACCATTACTCTACGTTGCCACAGTCTTGCTGATAACAGCCCAACACCAATTACCACCAGCTCAAACATCCTTCCTGCCAATTACTCCCATCACAATACTACATGTTCAAAAGTGCTTGCATGCATCAGTCAACTAGACTCAGCTTTCAGTCAAGTATCTACAGATGCTGGAGGTTTCTGTGCTTTCAGTATTGCTGTGATATTCCTATTATATCAGCTTCACAGAAAAGAAAAACTTTGGACGAAGAAGAAAATGAGCATCGACTGAAATCCATAAAACTACACCAAGGAAGAGTGAGGACCTAGTGGTTTGTTGAGATGCAAGGAAAAAAAAAAGAAGAGAAAATGATTCAATAACATAACTTAAAATCAAGGCTTCCTGGTTTTATTAGAGCCAGTGAAAAATAAATATGAATGAAAAATAAAAAGGACAGAGAAAAGAGATACAGCTTTACATAGAAGGAAGGACGTTTATTTTTTTTACACAACGCAGAAAGATTCTAGGATTCTGTACAAGTGATGGGATGCAAGTAATGTTGACATGAAGACATGAGGGGGAAAGGGAAGCAAAGACAGAGAGGGAAGGTGGGGAAAAATGGAGAAAAGGCTGGAGAGAGCAGACAGATGCTGCTCAGCCGGCAGGAGGCGTCTTTGATGAGGTGTAAACAATTTATCTGTGTGGAAGAGAAGAAGTAGAGTGAACCTGGGGGGAGCAGGAGGGGGACCTACGGAAATGTAAAATGCCAACCAAAATACACCAGACACACGGGAGTCACGGAAGGGCACCACAAAAACCACAATGCACAGTGTAAATGCATACTGTGCATTGGAAAACACTTGCAAACACACACACACACTGAAGGGTTGGGGCAAGTCCTTCCTGTGATTACATCAACACCTTCCTGCTACATCACGAGGTGCAGCGCTCAACTGACAGACAGTTGTGGCTCTCATCTTTACACACTGGGAATTTTACTTAGGAAAAACTGTGGGCTCAGCCACACTGGTGCTACGCTATGGCCTCTTCTCCTCACCTGGTATATTGACATAGCAAAGGAGGGTATCACAAACACATGTGTGGGCCTTTCTTCTCAACGGAAGTAGACCATATTAGTAGAAATGGGGACACTACATGTAACCATGAGGATCAGCATGTAAACCAGTTTCAGTGAAAAAAAAAATCATTATTGCAGTTTTTGTCAATCAACAAATGCTTGCATGCATTGCTTAAGAAGTGAAAATGTCCAACGATATTACAATGGGCATTTGAACATAAACTCATAAAAGAATCTAAATATTATCATGCTGCGTTCTGCTCATGCATGAACTGACTTCATTCGTTTTTTTCTGTACTCTCAAATGTCAAAGATACTGACACAAAAGGCATACAGTATCATCATAAGGACACAATTAAAGACAGGATTATCTATTACAGGAGCAGCTCAAGTACAGAGGGAACAAATTTCTGTTTTAAGACTTGAAACTTTATATAAAAAAGGAATTTTAGTATAGATGAGATGTTTAGTTCTAGTGAGCATGTAAAATAATAAATGAGGGAGACAAAAGAGGTGAGACATTTGATGTGTAGGTAACACAGGTGCAGGCCAGAGGCGAGAGAGGGGGCATGATGGTGGAAACAAGCAGGTACGGCAAGTAGAAAAATTACATGGAAGTCATGTCGTTGAGGGCGTGGTCCAGCTCCTCGCTGATGGCCTTGTACTTCAGTTTCTGGGCATACAACTCATCTATTGGTGGGCCAGGAGTGAAAGGTGCATGTTGGGGGTGGGGCGGGAGGTAGGGCGGTGATTGAAAGCAAAAGGTGGAGGAGGAACATGACACAAGGAGGTGGAAGGTGAAGCATCCAGACCATTTGCAGGACAGGGAAGGAAAAAAAAACATGGAGAGAGGACAGAAAAACGAGGGGGGAAAAAAGGAAACAAAGTTACACCAGAAAGACAGAGTGGATGTGCAGCAGATCTAAGGTTAGATTCTTCAGCACCATTGAGAAATGGGCTGTATTTCACTGCAATGTGGTGCTTATAAGACTAAATCAACACCTAAGCCTGATATCGCTGCTTAACTTTAAAACCACCCATTCCTAACTGGAACTGAAAAAAGCAACCAACTAAATGTAATAGTGAAAGAATAAGAAGTACCAAAATAGAAATAAGATGCTGTCTGAAAAAAAAAGAGAAGATGAAACAGGATAGAGTTCAAAAAGAAATGTGAAAAAGGGACCTAGGAGATTTTTTGAAACACTTACCCAAAACACTTCCAATGATACAATAAACATTGGAAAAATAATCATAGTAGCATTCTGGGTTTGGAGGCAGAAAAGCAAGCAAACAAAAAACCCCAAAAAGCATACCTTCCAGGTCATCAATGGTCTTCTCAAGCTTGGCTACTGATCTCTCAGCGAACTCAGCACGAGTCTCAGCCTGCATTACAGAGACAGATTCAGAAGTCAGTCCAACACTTGATGTGGAAACTTGTGTAAATTATCCTGGTGTGAGCCTAAAACACCAGATGGGGCATTGTGAAACTGTACCTCCTTCAGCTTGTCAGTGAGGACCTTGATCTCCTCCTCATACTTATCCTCCTTCTGTGAGTACTGTGGGTCAAAAACAACAACAGCTATAAGGAATCGCAAACATGTGCGTTGAGATAAATACTTTCACTGCATTTATAGAAATGAGTAAAAAAAAAAACAGAAGTGAAGAGGCTCTTCTGCGCCCCATCCATCAAGTCTGCAGGGGAGCTGCAAGGGTTTGACAGCATGCAGTCGCCCGGAAGGATGGCACGTACCTTCTCAGCCTGTGCCTCCAGTGACTTCAGGTTGTTGGTCACAGTTTTCAACTCTTCCTCAAGCTCAGAGCATTTGCTGGTGTTTTAGGGGATAAAGTTGCCAAGGACGAGTAGGAAAAAGGAGGGAGACGACGATGGACAGATCCGGAGGTAGACACAAATAAAAAGGTGGAGGGAAAAAGAAGGAAGGAGGGGGAGAGGAAACAAAATAATAAATAAAAACTACAGGGTTTTAACAAGGAGGGAACGCCAAGTACCTCAAAAGTGCCTTAACAGAGCAGGAATGTGAGAAAACACAGTAGCAGTGTGTTTTTTATCTGTTTGGATTGAAATATCATGCTTTTCTGTGGTGTTATTCTTGCACAGCCCCTGCCATGTTAGGCATGAAACAGTCTAATTGCACTTGGAATTAAAGAGCACAATGAAGGAGAGGAGCAAGCACAGCAAGCAAAGCAGTGAGAAGAGCCACTCAGAGATACAAGTGTGTTATGCTTTCTGTTTGCAGTACCTGTATGACTGTGGAGTCTAGTGATTTCATGCTTTGCTCCAAAACCCTTAGCTCATCCTCCACTCTTCGAGCACGCCTGTTAGTGGGTGTGGCGCGCATGTGCAAGCCAAAACCATTCAAACCACGAGGGGCATGCAAATAATCAGCACATACAGTAAGAACACAGGGCACACTGTTCAAATGGAAACAACTACTAGACTTTTAAATGTTAGCGCTCGAAGCTTCCTGAGTATTTCAATTCCAGCATACGTGCAAGTTTAAGCAAAGATTTTGTGTGTGAAAAAAAAGGCAAAAGGACTTACCCTTCTGACAGCTCAGCGCGCTCCTCTGTACGCTCCAGATCACCCTCAATGATGACCAGTTTACGGGCAACCTTTTGGTGTAGCACAACAACGTTTTTAGAAAAAAGAACCATGAAATGACTGTGAGACAGTTAGCACTGGGTTACATCCAGCCCAGAGTGTTTCACCCGCTTACGATTATCCTTGCAACTCCAATTCTGGTGAATTATAAACAAGGTTTAAAGGATACAGGACATATTACAAACTTTCCAGTGAAAATTCAAGTGTTATAACTGGGTAAAAACAAGTTTAACAGAATGAAGAGCTCAGGGTTGTTATAACTGAATTAACGTCTGTTGCAGAGCTATCAATTTCAAAGCTAAATGCTTAAAAAAAACTCGCCTCCTCATATTTGCGGTCAGCCTCCTCAGCGATGTGTTTGGCCTCTTTCAGCTGGATCTCCTGCAGCTCCATCTTCTCCTCGTCCTTCATGGCCCTGTTCTCAATGACCTTCATGCCTCTGTGTGCGGGAACAGTCAAAGAATGTTAAGAATTAAGTGGTGAGACCTGACAGACTTCCTGCAGTTTTCCCTGAGGACCCATATGTGGTTAAATAGTAGTGCTGGCAAGTAAATCTTTAATGTGCTCCTAAGGTGAATACCTAAATGTTTTCCGATATTAAAAAAGAGCAGAGGCACTTCTACAAAGGAGTGGAAACATGTTCACATGGCCTGTTTACCTCCCTGTTTGAGCCTGAGCTGCCTCACAAAACTCACCTCTCACTCTCATCAGCAGCCTTCTCAGCCTCCTCCAGCTTGGTCAGAGCAGTAGCCAGACGCTCCTGAGCACGATCCAACTCCTCCTCAACCAGCTGGATACGTCTGTTAAGGGAAGCGACCTCTCCCTCAGCCTAAGGAAAGAAGAAACATCATGTCGGGAGATTGTTTTTGCGGGTATGCTCAACAAATCAGTCACATATAGCACAACAAGAAAGTCGGTCCAAAGAAAGCAACCGGTGAATGTATTTGTTTATTAGAGTAGGTGTCGCCACCATTGTTTTTATGCCCACTGAGAGAGTGTAATCGTGGTTGTTCTGAAGTGTTATCTGTGAGCCACCTGTTGGGAAAAGCCCTCCCACCAGGCCTACTCCTCATTGACTATGTATAATGATAATTTCCCCAAACTAACATAAGGCTGAATGCCGCGCCTCATTACTGAGCTCCCCTGAGAGGACATTAACAAGGCTCAAGTCAAAAGGGCCTGGCACAATTAATGAATTCTGAAAATGACTGCTTGCATTGTACAGCTACAAAGTAGGCTCCCTGGGGTTTGAAACATCTAAGTGTAATTTATCTGGTCATCAGTGTAAGCTATGGAATCTTGTGTTAAATGAGGTGGTATCTTTGCAGAAAAGCTGATATACACGAGCACACATTGAAAAAAAAGGTGGGTCTTTTTATGATTATTCAAACGTGTAGCTACTTCTGCTTTCTGACACTGCTCAGCAGGGATCAAGACCTGCACTGGTGTCACTGAAAAGCGGATATTCGGCAGAAGCCTGCACACGAGGCAAAAGTCTTTTCAGAAGCTTTCCCCTGCAGCCTTAGGTTAAAGTGTGCAGCGCTGGGCCAGAATGCACTGGATGTTTTTAAAGCATGATGAGGAAGTTTCTAATGACCTATAAACCCATTAGTGGTCACTACTATTTCTAATACATTATAGTTTGTCAACATTAATTACAAGCTGTTACACTAAGCCTGAGATTAACTCTGACTGCTGCGAGCCTGTGCACTAAGATTTATTTCCCGTATAGATAACTACCGCTATGTTCTGTTGCTCGTTGCTGTGAAACTATATTGTCCTTATAAGGGCAAGTCAAAGAGCAAAAGCTGACAGAGCACACTGGCACCTTCAAATGTTGCCACAGTGGTAGTTTCCTGGTTGCTGAAAATACTTTATTCAAATGTGTGGCCTGCTCCTGGTTGGGCTGGAGCAATGAATTAAAGGATCGCAATATATATATATATATATATATATATATATATATATATATAAACAGTCAGGTTTACCGGTAAAGGAAATGCAAGTGAACTCGTTTAAGGAGATGAGACAATACAATGGCACAAAGTGCCACAGTTGCTGCTGAGCCAACAGGGCATCAGCGGCCTAACGTTGCCAATTAGAGGCGCTTATCCAGGAGCAGCGGGCTATCAAAGCTTCATCTGAGACTTGCGGTGGCACACGGAGAGCCAAGTAAAAGCTCAGCTTCCAGCACTGGGGTGGGTCAAGAGCAATCCCGCTATCTCACTGTGTATCAATTCAAACTATGGCCCTACATGAACTCTACACAAGTGCACAGGAAATGATACAGAGAGAGAGAGACAAAAAGGAGGCAATTGTGCGCTCGCAGGTAGGCTCTAAGCGCGGTAAACATGCTTACTTGTTCCCTGGCTTTCCTGTGCGCAAGCAACTCCTTCTGTAATCTCTCGGCTCTGTCTTCAGCACCGTCTGCCTGCTCTTGTAAGGATTTGATCTTTCGTTTCACTGCATCCAGCGATGTCACTCCTGCCATTGTTTATGTACCGTTGTATATACTTAGATATATAATATAAAAAACAGGACTACACTTTTGCGCTGCAGCACAGTTTCCGAGAATTTCACCAGGAACGAAGTGACGTCCTTGGTTGTGCAGAGGGCTGCGTGAAGAGAGGCGAAAGAGTGCGCAAGCCTTCTGGAGACGCACTGTGCAGTGAATGTATTTACCAGGAAGTACGGTGATTTCAAAAGAAGCATGAAAAAATAACCGGTATCCTGCGGGGTTGTGCAAAACTTTAGACCGCGATAACATGCTGCACTGCCACTATAAAATAATAAAATGTAATAAAATGTAAAAGTTACAAAATACCAATGCTGTTTAATGACGTGAGCACACCCAGACCCACACACAACGGAGCGTACTCGTAGCGTACACTGTGCTACAGCCCCCTCTGCGGGTCAGCCGCGAGCAGTACATACGTGGCAGTGAAATGTTTTGGAGAGTGCAGGACATTCAATAAGTCTTCACTGGCTACAGTAATTACAGGCTGCCGTTGAAACTTTGCAAATATCACGGAACAACCAATCCTAAAATATGTAAGGGAAAAACAAGTCCATAAAACACAAGTAGTAGTTAAAGTTACTCGAACAACCCACAAACTATCTGGTAAATATCTTTTTCTTTTGGGGTGGGGGTGGGGGGGCACCACAATACGCTTTCTATAGGGAATGAAATGTCCAATCAAATACGAGCTGAGAAGACTCAATTACTCAATTGACTTTTGACCCACTTTGGCCTAACCACCCACCCACCCCCTACTTTGAGATCCAATTAAAAGATTATTACAGCTTGTTTCCCCTCTGCAACCGGATTCGTCTGATTGAGTTTTATAAGCAAACGTCTCTATCTGCCGAACTTGATGTTGGCCGTCACCTCTTGTCATTCGAGGGACCCCTGTCGTAAAAACCTAACTTTATGAGGCCATTAAGATGACAAAATCTAAATTCTTTACATAATTTATTTTATTTATTTATTTATTTATTTTTGTCACGCATTTATTACCAAGGGGATAAAACAGTGGGGCAACAAAACAAAGTTTTCTTCTTCTTTTTAAAAGAACTTTTTATTCAATCGAGAGAAAAAATGCTGCAGCTTTCTTTTCCTTTCTTTTTTCCTTTTTAATTTGTGTGCTGCCCAAGACTTTTTGATAGGGAACCGTTTTTTCCTTTGGTCAGCAAAGAGCGCAGCACGCAGATGTGAGCTCTATCTTGACCATATATAGCAGTGGGCTATATTTATCTAGGCGCTTGAGCTTTTTGGGAAGGCTGTGAGTTCAGTCTGCATGACTTATCGCTCTGAAAAGACCTAAAAGGCGGAGATCACGGTCCACAAACACGAGAGATTGTTACAAATTTGTACAGAAATACCGACGAGGCTCCAGGGGAGGATGGACTGAGTTTAAACATAGATGTTTTGAAAGTGCTATATTTGAACAATTAAACCGACTTTCTTTGGACTGTGATTGTGCGTGTGACAATTCAAGAAACGACAGTTCCAACTACGGGTCTAAATGGTTGATTAAAAACAAACAAACAAACAAATAAATAAAAGTTTGTAGTGTATCAGCTTTGGGGAAAAACCCATCCACAGATTGGAGCAGTGGTGGTGAACTGTCGCTTCCCTCAGAGGTGGCAGAATGAAGATGTGGGGTAGCGTGTAGGAATGGTGCCATTGTAAATCCCTTCCTTACTTACATCGGTGGCTTTCTTCTCAGCCAGCTCAAGTTTCTCCTGGGCATCTTTAAGAGCCTCGGAGTACTTGTCCAACTCATCCTCAGTTCCCTTCAGTTTCTTCTGCAGAGCTACCAAATCGTCCTCAAGCTGAGTTTCAGTGCAGGACAGTTTCAGGGGTGATCAGCGGAGGGTCGGAGTTGCGTGAGCGCGCACAGGCGCAAAAGCGCATACACACAGAGAAGAGAGAGAGACAGGGGACAGCACACGGAAAAGAAAGAGACAGGAGAAAAGTTAGGGAAGCCCATGCACTTCAGGATCAGATACCTTGGTGGCGACCTCCTCAGCAGTCAGCAGCTTTTCTTCAGCTGTTTGGAACTCCTCAAGCACTTTATCTCTTTCGTCCTCAGTTATACGCAATTTCTTTTCCATCTCTCTTATATCGTCCTCTAACTTCACATGCATATGAACAAATTATACAGTTAAACAGAATATAACAGAAACATGCAGTTTTCAACGATCAAGTGACATTTCTCTTAAATTGACTTAATCAAAAATGATTTCTGGGTTATATGGTTTATGGGTTACATCAACAGTTGCTAAAACAGTGGAGAGGATGATTTCTTTTTTATCATTCTTCAAAAATGACATTAAAAATGCAAAAAAATGTTTAAAGGATGGATTATTCTTAATTTTAATCCTTAACTGGGATTATCCATGAAAATAATTAATCCGTTTTAAGGAGGCGGTCCATTTAAACTGGTATTCCTGCATTTTTACTGCATCTTTCGGGTTTTCCCACAAAAGGAAGAAGGACAAAAAAACAGCCGACCTGTTTGCTTCTGTCCTCTGCTGCTTTCTTGTCTGACTCGGCCTGCTCAGCTCTGTCCAAGGCATTCTCCTTGTCGAGCTTGAGCATCTGCATCTTCTTCTTAATGGCATCCATGGCTGCTTAGTGTTGTTCGGCGGCACCGACAAAACGTCCAACGGAAAACCAAGGATAGAGTGGGAGAGGGGCTGGGGCGTCTGTGCCTAACTGAACGCTAAGCTGGAGTGCAGGCTCTGCCTGACTTTGCACTGTCAAATATGTACTTTCAAGGTGGTGGTGGTGGGGGAGTGACTGGATTCCTTTGGACATCCAATACTTTTTGGGAGGAGGCGTGTGTGGGTGCTCCGGCGTTTTTTTAAGGATCTGCTTGACTATTCGTTGCTCCTATACATCTGAGACGCCTTTATATGGGGTGTGACGAGTATGGGTATGCTCCCACGGAAAGGGTTCCTGCCATTTAATGTCAGAGAAGATGCAGAAAAAGACTGTTTACGTTTGCGTTAACGCCCCGGTCACCCATTTAAAAGCAACATGCAGCCTCTGTCTCTGAATTGAGTGGCCTGCACTTTCCCAAAGTTTCTGAAAGTTGGCATATGTTTAATTTGCAAGGAAATTACGTTTTCTGGCCTTATTTCACAGTGGCAGTGCCTTCCTGTTTTCCTGCATCTCTTCTTACTTTGGAAAAGCTGGGAGAGGGACCAGAGCCAGCTGCAGAACAAGCTTTTGTCACCGTGTAGTCTATGGTAGCTCTTTATCTCTGCCTGAGTATGTTTGGGTGGCTGAGTGTAAGTTCGCTTGGAATATGCTGTAGTGGCTCTCTGTGATATGAGATGCTTTTGGTTAGCCACGCAAGCCCTAGAGGCATTGTTCACAGTCTAGGGGGCTCAACAGAGGGAAGTGTTTACCTGATAATGTATCAGATATCCCTCATGTAAACCGTTGATGTGTCATTTGTCTGGCATCACAGCATCCTGGCAGCTTTGTACTTCAATAAGAGCGGCTAAGTCACTGATCGGCTTGTGATTTGTGACATGTTTACTGTTTTAAAAACTAATGAAGAAGACAATTTCACATCATATTGCATATTTATTACTAGCCTTACTAAATTTAAGCAATTATTATTCAATGCGATTATAACAATATGCCTAACAGAAATTATATCAAGTAATGATCCCTCTGCAGTAACTTAGTGAAAAGTCAAAGCACACTACGGTGACTGAGGACACTCCAAGTGTCTTTTAGTCTTCTCAAGGATATTTTTAGGATCGACTTTTCTTCCATGCACCTGCCTTAGTCTGTAATGGATCCAAGACACTGTGCCAAGAGTGGAAGGTCTAAAGGCATTAGATATGTCTCTTAAAATAATCGCTGTCTTGCTCAGGCTTTGGCCTGTTTTATAGAATATTGTTGCTATGCTTAGCAGACTGAATAAAAGAAATAATTACATAATAAGGAGCAAATTCTGATTTTTACAGTGCCAGAGAAAGATGAGACTTCTTATCCTATTGATTTATTTGTCTCTTTCCAATTTAGCCATTAGTGGTCGTTTTTTTGTTTGTTTGTTTTACATTTGACTGTCATGAGCCCTAAAAGAAAATGCATTTTGCTAATCTGGGGACAGCCTTTGTTTTCTAATTATTAATGGCAATGAAAGACACTGTTTACAGAGTTTGTGTCTAACTGCTTTTCTCTCACACTAAAATCAAAGCTCTGGAAAGCTTTTCTCTATAAATAAGGAAGTCTGCAAGGTTGCTGAAGAGGTCTTTCTTGAGTCTTGCATGACTGACTTAGTAAATTAAGCCACTTCATTTATTTAACGCTTTGAGTGTTCAGTCCTTTTTTTGTTTGTTTGTTGCCATATTGTGCACAGTATTGTGGATGTTTCTGGTTACAATACCTATGCACAGTTTGCCATTTATGTTTTCAGTAATGTATAATTTATAGTGCACTGCTGGTTGTTCTTGATTTGGAATTCCATATTCATTATCTTAAACAGTTTTTCCAGTTAAAAGGCATGCCAGAGTTCCTGTAGCACCCCTGGAATGAAAATAAGCTCCTTTTATCATGTTTTACTGTAAATCGTTGGCACATTAAGAATGTCCCAGGGCCTAATATGTTTATTTTGAATGAAATCCAGATATTAGTGAAAACCTGCCGAGCTCCAAGTTGCATTCCACTGGAAAATTAAAGGTACTCTCACAGCTGAAGGTAACACTTAAGTTTTCTTTCATTTTTACAAATGAGAAGGCAATAACAAACTCTTTCAGTATTTGAGGCTTAAGGCATTTAAGAAAGCCACCACATGGAAAAAGTGTTTTTTTTTCAAGGCTGCAGAATGAAAAAAAAAGAAAAAGAAAAGATCTAGACATGTAATTTTGAGCTCTTTGAAAGAAAAGAAAAAACTCGGTCTCTGAAGCCCATTAAAGCTGCCAACCTTAAATAAGTCTAAGCCTACGTCCTACAATATGCAGCATTGAAGCTGGGATTTAAAGATAAATGCTTTCTTGGGACTTACTTGTTGGAACATTATAAATAACTTCACTCTTATTATGCAGTCTTCTCCCACAAAGCTTTGCCGCATCAGTAAAGAATTTATTGTGTTGAAAACAGTAAATACTCATTTAAAGGCCATGAATATTCTTAACAATTATCCTTAGAGGTGGAAACAACTGAGGGGAACACAGTCAAGGAAGAATTCTGTCCTACTGTGAGTTGAAAACACAGACTTGCAATCAGACAACTGTTGCCTATTTTCTGGACAGGTCTGGGATACTCTGTCATGTTGGAATTCTGATTGTCTCCTCGTATCATGATTTGGTCTGCAGGAGGGGACAGCTGAGTGAGACAGGTGGGGCTATCGTCATATTCAAATTCAAATCAGTGAAAGCTTTTGCAGCTCACATGTTTATAAATAAGGGTTTAAAAAAGGATGCCATACATAATCGAATTAGAGCATGTTAAACACATAAATATAGACGCAAAAAGGTCAAAAGCTGGTAGAAAGAAAGTCTTTCAATTACGGACCGTTTGTGATCCTCCCGAATTTAAATGACACAAAGCAGCCATTTGGAGCTGCTTTATAATATTGTAACACTGTAATAGTTAATCTGTTAGTCCTACAATGACAGCCCACTCTGTATGTGGAATGTCCGGTTCTCCTCAGCTGACGCTCTGGGAGTAGCCGAGCTTTACTTGGCCGCTGTGCCTGAACCCATGTTTGCATAAGAAGACACTTGGGAGAGATATTCAGGGTCTAGTCATGGCTTAAATGTTACTACATTAGAAAAAGGATCCATTTGCTTCTGTTCTGTTTATTGTGTTGTGTGCATTTACAAAGGTTATCGGATGCAAAGACTGGAAGTTCTTCCAGGAAAACACTTAAAAACTTTCCTGAGGTTTTGCCATATGCTTTGAAACCACAAGCCAACTTGTGAGTGATTATTTTCTAATGATGCACGGTATTACTGATTGCACCGATACACAGCAGTGAACGTTTCAAGGGCGGTTCTCCTCCATGTTGAGTGCATGGCTGCTGAGTGAAGTACAGTGATTGCAGACCCCTCGTCAAATACCATCTTAAGGTTTCTGCAGACATCATCCAGATATATATAGAGAGAAAACTTCTTGGCCCTTTGGGACGGTACCCCCGTGATTAGATAGCTCCATGCAGGGGCATTTAGCATAGCAAAAACTGAGATGGGGTTCTGGGAGGGTGCAACTTAAGATGTAACCCAAGCCCAGCCCATGCCCTACTGATGATTGGTTTATCCACAGTAATGTTCCACTGACATATACTGGTAGTCGTAAGACTTGAACTGGTTTATTATTGAGCACAGGTGGACATCTAACCATGTGGACATCCAACCATGGCACAGAGACAGCTACAGTATTTAACTTGATGGATAGTTGCAATAAGGCTGTGACACTTTGAGTCACTCCTTTTTGTGTGGTGATAAATCTGTCATTAAGGGTGTAAATCACACCGGCACGTTCCTTGTTCTGTTTTAATCCCAGCAAACCTATTGTTTAAATGACAAACACTGAAAGTACAGTATGAGCTGATCAGAATTCACAGTTTTCGCCAAAGGCAAATTCCTTTGGTATGAAGGTCAACCTAATTCAGCTGCAGGTGTTCCACTGAAGATGGGTAGCTTTCTTCCAGTGCCAAGATTTTGCTACAGCACAAGTAGGTGCTGTTAAAAGAAAGGATCTGTCATCCCACAGGCTGTGGAAAGAAAATCCTCTTACAGTCCACGAATGAGACACAAACCTTTCAGTTTTATAAAAAACACATATGTCTATGATGCTCCCTGGGAGTCCTGAAATGAATTTCTAAATGCATTTTTGAAATTCATAATCGGTCAAAGCTGAGATTTAGAGCTCATTTTTCAAGTTTGCAGAAAAGCCTCTGTGACAATACCAAAGCCACAACAAGTTATTGAGAAAAAACAAGCTGAGCTATGGAGGAAAATTCCAAAAGTTAACACGTTCAGTAGAGCAAACACAAATGTGGGTAGAAGTCATAATGGAGGAATATTTGTGGCCTCGGCAGGGCGCCTCCCAGACAGTTTGTTTGTGTTCTTCCCCTCTTAGAGGGGGGACACACAGAGAGGGAAGATTGTAAGCCATATCTGATGCTGCTCAGTCAGCTTAGACTAGAAGCGGGTGGGGTTGGCATCTGTGGGGAACTGTCACGATTCATTTCACACTTATGTGGGATGCCATGCCACAATCCTAGTGTAAAATCAAATTCTCAAAAGCCAAGAAATGTCAAGGCACGAATAGTGAAAGGAAAAAAAACAAAACACTGATTTGTGAGACAGTCAGCTTTACAAATATGTCTCCAGCAAAATCACATTTTTTGGCCTTTGTGTTTATTTGTACACAGAAGGGCGAATCAAGCCGGAAGTGCAGTGAACTGTTGTTTACAGGCAGCTTTGACATCTCCCGGTTCCAGATAAGGAGTCCAAAAATTTACTCTTGGTGGATTTAAAGCTGTTAAAACATTTTTCTAAACCTCTTTCCTGTGTGTTTTTCTATCATTAACTTAAATGCCCGTCTATTGCTTTGTGCTTGCTGACGTACTCACCCAATTATTGTCGCATTGTACATCTGAGTTCGCAGCTGCCGAATATCTCGAGGATAGCTCTATTCAAATATTTGCCTTCAATCTTTTGCCCTTCGTGTCACAGGGCTAGAAGTTTCCGTGTTTGCGCACGAACGAAAAACCTTTCATATATGTGTCCATATATGGGCTCTCTG